GCCCTTCTCCATGGTGCTGCCATCCAGCCAGGTGTCAACCCATTTTGTAAACAGCTATTCAGATTCATAAGTTTTACATTCTTTTATTGTATCTGGAAATGGTTAGTCTAGCATTTCTTATTTGCTGGATGACTTTGCTTGCAACCTTTCAAGTTGGATGGCTATTGGAAATTAATTAAAAAGTGCGTGTATGTGATAGATGCACTTCTTTCTTGAACCATGTTTTTAATTTTAAAACTAATTCTTTAAACAGACAGTGTTTAACTGTAGCTAACTAATTACAGTTAATTAACTGTAATTTCTGGTCCCGCTGTCTAGATTTGCAAAGGTATTTGGATAGCTAACTTGGAAAATGCATGAGACTATCTATATCTCTGGTTGTCTGAATGGTGTGGAAAATCTGGTTCATGTCTTCTGTGGTTTTTGGAATTAGTTGATCTCATCTTCTCCCATGCTTTTTCATTAACTGGAAGAGCAGAACAAGCTTTCCTGGTAGTTCTACTCCCAGTTGGTTCATTCAAAATTGAAAAAACTCAACTCATCCAATGAAGAAACTTCCACTGCGCCTTTTCACTCAACAGATTCCAGGAGTGATGAAGTGAGGTGGAAACCAGTTCGTTGGGTGAGGGTGGGCAGAGGAACGCAAGTACCTACATTTGTTCCACTAGAAAAACTGAAATCATGGATGGATGATGCAGCACATGAAACTGATGCAAACAGCTTGAACTGAACCCCCAAATTAGATGCTTCCCGATTTTTTTTTTTTTTTTTTTTTTTTCTATATTAAAAAGAGCAGCATTGTCTAACATTTGAGTGCCTATTGATGCAGCCTTTCCTTTATTAATAATTTAAATGAATTATAGTTAAAAAGATGAACCCCTTGCATCAAAAGAGCTTGTTACGTTTGTCGTTTAATCACCTGTATCTTCTGAAGGCTGACAGCCATTGTAGCAACTCGCTTCAGAGGTCTGCTTTATTACAATCGCTCTACCAAATCACTTTTTGTTATTAGCTGCAGTTGCATGAGCACTGAAGTGAAAATCATCAAAATGTAAAATACTGTTGCTCTAACTAGCTCATCACAAAACAGGTCTGTACCAAGGACGCTTCATTGTCGGCTGCAGTAGAGGTGATAGAGCTGCAGACCCTCCTAAAATGGCAGAAAAGTTCTTAGTGGAGCAAAATTCTTCACTGAAATCCTTTTCAAGCCCATTTGGTTTCAGTAGGGTTGTACAAGTGTATCTGAGGGCAGAATATGACTAGTGCTTAACCTGTTTCTCTGCTTCCTCTAAACCTCACGGTGCACGAAAGGAAGTCTGGAGAGCTCCCTTTGAAACTTGCATTTGGTTGCGGAGTCTGTCCGTTGCCTTTCCTCTTCCACAACACGCGTGGTAGTTGTAGCAGTGTCTTCCTGTAAGTGCGGGTGCTTCTACATGCCTGCTTGCACAAACAGACCACATTGTCTATGCCTGGGGTTGGCAACCTGTTGGCCCTGGCTTGGATCCAACCTACAGAGCCACTTGGTCCAACCTGTGGATGGGGAGCTTTGGCTGTGGGCACCTTTCCCTGTGCTGCTGTGGGGAGAGGCAGTGGTAGCAGCTGGGTCCCAGCATCTGCTCACCTTCCCTGACCCAAACTGTCCCTGACCTGCAGCCTGAAGCATTTCCAACTGCTGGTCTTTGAAAAATTAGTCTGGCAATCTTTGTGGCCACTAAATATCCCTGACTGCCAATTGACTTTCCTTAGCAGTGTCTTTTCAGCATCCCCACTTAAGGCCTGGACAGCTACTCCGATGGCTTCTATCACCATGTCCCTTGCACCTTTTAACAATACAAAGCAGGGTGTTTTATGCGGTTTTAGTAATAGTCATGCAAAGTGTGTGTGTGCTTTTATCTTTCTGTAGCAAATGTAGTTTGTCTAGTCCAGAATGAGTGAGACTGAAAAGTGATTAGGATTTGAAAAGTTCCCATATAACCAAAATTTGGTGGCAGCTGTTGGGTTTCTCCCCTGTTCACCTTGCCTTGGCTATGTGTTGTCACTTCTCACTTGAGCAAATCGGGTGCAGGCTTTCAAAGTTGGTGTTGAGTTCTTAGGCCATTTGCAAATGTTTTATATTTTTGCCTGCTTTCAACAAAGGGTGTGTAGTTATGCATGTGTCTCCCCTACCTGGGAGGAGAGGAGGTGCATTCACCTTCCTCCTGGGTGGTGGTAGGGGGTTGAAGACCATGCTGCATTGGGACATTTCGGTAATTGAGTAGAAAATAAAACTAGAGCTAGTCCAAAACTTCTAGTTAAATACTCCCCCCCCCCCTTTTTTTTTTTTTTGATTTGAACATCTGCTAAATTTTAAAAACCTTTGTGGAGATGGCTTCAGATTTTTTTGACAAACTTCTGATGGAGCTGTGGCATGTTTTGGTTGGAAACCAACCCAATTTCCTGCCAGTGTATCCACCCAACTCCTCAGCAGCCTCCTGACCTGGGAGCTGTAAACCTGGAGAGGTGAAGCTTTTAGGTTGAATTGAGAGCTTCAGAGCTTGCCTTGTGGACCACCCAGGTCATTCCCCAGCTGTTTGCTGTGGGGTTTCTTGCACCTTCCCCTGTAACAGTTTTTTTTGCACTGGGTTAAATGGAGTTCTGACCTTGTATGGCAGGTCCTAAATGCCAAGTGTGTAGAGATTAAATGGGAATATAGTGCAAAGACGATTTTGTGTATTAGGACCACTCGCTTCTTCCCTGTGTTTTTTACCTTGATGGATTAATGAGTGTTATTGTTGACTAAGCATATACAGATGTAACTCTGCCCAAAGAAATGGTAGCTCATGCAATAATGAAAATGAGATGTCTGAATATAATGAAACCTCTTCTCTGGAATGCAATTTAGATAAGTGTTTGTGTTGCCTCCAAGGATGCTTACAGGACTGAAGCACAAAACCATTCCTGTCCCTGAGATGCTACATGAAATGAACTCCATCTGACAGATACTTCATAAAACAGAATCTGCTGAGAAGAATATGGAAACTTCTGCACTCATAGTCAATAAAAGGGGTGGGGGGTGGGATTAGGGTTGTGTTTTTTAACAAATTGCACGCTATATCAACAGGCAGCATGCCTTAAATCTGTCTTTTATCCAGTGCAAGGAGACCTGGGTTCTGTTTTCTAATATGACTTTGTATTCTGTAGGCTTTGCCCTGTGCTAAAGCTCATAAATCCAACTGCAGTGTAATGATTTGGTCATCAGTGAGCAAATCACAGGCTGGAGGGAGCTTGTGCATTTATGATTACGTTGCACTTTTTTATTTCTGTGTACACAGTTCTTTTATCTCAACTGCAGATTTAATACCAGTACTCCCATTAGCACTGGTCTGAATGCTAGCAGATTATTGCACATCTCTTTCTGTCTTCTGTTACTGCCTCAGTTGGTCCGAACTGATCTTGTGTCCATCCATTCATCATCCACAGGACTTGAAGCAGTGGGCAGGGTCTGGATTACTATGAAAATTTAGTGGGTCTAGGTGCTCTAATAGAATGTTTGCTTCTTTTTTTTTTTGGTGGTCAGAGGATGCTGAAACAAATGCTTCTCTTGGTGAGTCTCCAGGCCAGCCTGGTGGCTTTGTGTGCAGAGAAGGATTGAAGTTTAAAGGAAGTGCCCGAAGAGTCGGTGCAATAACAAAAAATGGGGATTAACAGTAGTAGGTTCTCTCTGTCTCATTGAAGGGTCTCCTGTGCTCCATCAGTATTTAGATGCTGGGTACATTCAGATGTGGAGGGAGGGTAGATCATGTTAAAAATGACCCCCTCCCCCTCCATGTAACTTAGTTCAGCCAGGTGCAGGCTTTACACTTGGATCCCTAGTTAGGTCTCTCTAAGTGTGAACTGTACAGAAGTTCAGGAAGGTTAGATTGGTCTAAAAATGGCCGACCTGATTTAAGTTAACTCCACCCCATAAATACTCTAACTTAGATTAGGTCCAGCAAGACTGATTGATTTCACTGAGCTTCTGTACACTTCTATACAGACATCTAGAGTTCTAGTGCAGCTCTGGGGCTGGAAAGCCCAGCCACTGGCCCCAGCCCCAAGCTATGCTTTTTCCTTCCTGTCCCCTGAAACTAGGGTTTGTTTGCTTTAAGCCCCCCAGCCCTTCGCCCCTCCGCCAGATAGACAGCCCCCTCCAAGGACCAGCCAGCATTCCTTGCCC